CTGTTTGCAGCCTTTAAAAGTACAACAAAGTGAATATATTTTTCATAGAAAGCGCTGAGGATACAATGTGATATGGTATCGCTATGGTATCAAATTTCAACACACAGGAGGTGTATCTCTTAAATGATACACAATACACATGCAGATTCTTATGTCGTTTGGTCAAATAATGTTCAAGGTTTCATATGTTTGCAGCCGTGAAAAGTAAATCAAAATAAAGGTATGCTAGGTAGCAAAAGAAACATCAGTTTTGAATTTTCCTTCGCAGAAACGGATAACTGTAAACTCATTTCATGTCTTGATTGTATATTTATTACAACATCTCCAACTTTACCCGAGCAAAGACATTCTTTCCCAAACTCAGAATTGAACCCAGAAAACGGTCTCAAAAACGCAACCTGATCTCGGAGATGGTACGGTGTTCTCCATGTTTTTCATGCAACTCATGCTGCACATGCTGTTCACAAGGATCAGCCATATAAAATGCACCCCCAAACCTGGTTGAAACATTCACATTACAACGTCAGCAGGATGCCGCCACTCACGACAGCTCAGAGGAACCAGGCGCTTGGAAGACTTGAAGCTGGCCACACTGCACAAGCCGTTGCCAATCACTTCCAGGTCAACGTTCGGACCATATACAGGCTGCAGCAACGTTTCCGGGCGACCAACACCACAAATGATCGCCCCCGTACTGGCAGACCAAGGGTGACCACAAGACGACAAGACCGCCATGTTGTGTGACAGCATTTACAGAATCCCTTCATGCAGGCATCCGAAACAACACGCCAGACAGTGGGAACACACGGAAGACCAATCAGTACTAATACAGTACGCCGACGTCTTAACAGCGGGAACCTCCATTGCCGTTAACCTTACCGTGGACATATCCTAAACCCTCGTCATCGACTTGAACGTCTACAGTTTACCCTACAACACCCAAACTGGCGACACAGGCAATGGAGAACTGTTCTGTTCACAAATCTGAGTCCGTCTGGCGTATCAGCTGCAGATGGCAGAACAAGAATATGGCGACGACGCTGCCAGCGTTACTCAGACCAATGTGTTATGGAAAGAGACTGACGGGGTTTGCAAACATCATGGTATGGGGTGGAATAGGCCTGAACCAGAGAGAGGGTCCTGTGGTGTTCCAGAATCTTGGTCCAGGGAGAGGAGGCGGTATCAGAGCGGTGCGCTATATCGACCAAGCTCTCAGACCCCACGTCATACCACATACCACATTTCGCACGTCACCGGAACAACATTTTCCAACATGATAACGCCCGGGCCCATACTGCCAGAGCTACACGGGACTTCCTACAGCAGAACATTATACAGTAGTCCTGATTTAAACCCAATTGAACATCTTTGGGATGAAATTCAGAGGAGACTTACTAATGTCAAACCAAGGCCGAACACAGTCGATCTATTGCGCCAGGTCTTTCTCAGAGTGTGGTTCCAGGTGCCAATGGCCTTCATCAATCGATTGGTGCACTCCATGCACAGCGTGTGCTGCAGTTATTGCCGTTCGTGGTGGTCACACTAGATACTGAAGTCAAGAGTCTGAATGGACTACAAACGTTCACGTAATGTCTTGAAATTGTGCTGAGTTATTCATTGATGTGTCAAGATGATATTGTACACAAACATATTTTTGATCCGCTCATTATGTCCATTTCTGTAATGATTTGATTACAGTGCCTATCTAATTTTGAATTCGAACTGACGTTTGTTTTGCTGCTGAGTATATTTATCATAGAAAGTGCTAAGGATACAATGTGATATGGTATCACTATCCGATACGAAAACGGGGTAATCTTACAGGAACGACCATTAACACACTGATGAAGTTCTCACTTTGTTCGTCCTGAATTTAGTTCAGACAGAAGCGTTCGGATTTCCTGATATCTTCTACAAACAGTGGCAGTTTTTATAATAGATCACTTTCCAAACCATATGTTAGCACACTTAGCTGATTACTCTACTTGCCATGGAACTTCTCCAAAACTGAAGTAGGGAGAAATAATGTACCAGAACTGTCATATATTTTGGGGTAAATTCAAACGATTATATACTGAAGGCAAACGATTCTGTTTGTTCTGGGTCAGATATCCACATTCCCAGGAAAATATACATTTCAGGGTCGATAAATAACAGTTCAAAAAATGAAAAAGAAATCCTTTAAAATGAATTAAGTGTTTTACGCGGCATCGAACTTTTGAACAGCTGCCAGTTTCTTGTTAGTCGTTCTGCCATCAAGTTCAAGGAGCCAATGCAAGAACACACACCTGTACGACACACACAGTCACGTGGACACGCGTTGGCGTACGCACAAGCACACAAATACACATATGAGTGAGTGGTTGAAGATAAACACTGCTTGGAGACATATGTTAGTATTATTCCATCACGTCGAAGACACCAAGAAACGACTTCACCTTTTGAAACCACTCAGGAATCGAACTCGGCTCTTCGTCTTTACCATCTTCCCGAGGAAAATGGATGTCTATTGTCACTAACTCCGCGCCAACGCTTTTCCAAGTAAACTAAATTAGCAACATAGTGCTATATATAGAGATGTTGTCAACAGCTATGCATGCCAGTTAATTGTTTAACTGTATCCTCTATATACGTATACACAAGCAGATACTTCCACAGTGTGACACTGGAAGCATCCAGATCGGAAGTGTGATTTCATCTCAGCTCTGCGTCTATTTTGATAGTGCTATATATCCTTGTTTAGTCGTAGCTGACCAATTGATGAATGGTTGTGTCAGGCCATAACGACTACTAGAGCACGCCAGGGCCTATATTTTCGAAGCTCTTTTAGCGCTAAGATAGTGGTAAGTGCCATACATTAACATTAACTTACGATTATCTTAGCGCTAAGAGAACTTCGAAAATCTAGCCCCTGGCTCGTTGACTTGGTTGACACATGTAATCGGACCCCAATTTCGTAGATATGTTCGTGATGTTGATCACTGGATTGTCTGGTCCAGACTCGATTTATTACAGCCCGCCACCATTTAGCCGGAATATTACTGAGTGCGGCGTAAAACAAAACACACACACACAAACTAGATCATGCAGAACATGTATTGTACTATACCCTGTTCCTGTTATACTCACAGTTCCTAAATGAGAAGTTAATGTTTCAGGAACATTTCAGGAACAGTTCAAGATTTTAGGACAAAATAGTTTCAGCAAGTAAGTAACAAGACGATGTAAACTTGATAACATTTCAAGGCTGGTTAAGTTGGACAATGAAGACGTTATCCTTTGCTGGTCACACAAAACAAACACCCAGATCAATGAATTGGTCACACATGGATGACTTTGTCCAATCACATGCCTTCCAAGTTCCTTTCTTGATGATTTTATGGCGAATTGGAGAGAGTTACTTTTCAGTATTTTGTACGTGACGGTTTCAGACTCAATACTGCGTATTTGTCGATCGATGGTAAATGTGATGTCTCGTAAACCTACAGAGATTTCCGATATACTACACTTGACGGATTATATTCTATGGAGCGAAATAACACACTATGTTAGAACTTGCAGTCTCCAACGTCGTTGAACACCCAGATAATCTTTTCTTGAAATCCAGCACAACATTAATTAGGCGAAGCTCTGGAAAGTCTGTTATTTGTATCCAAACCATCCTAACGTCTTTTTTGCCATAGTTCCAGCGGATTCTAAAAGGGTCGGAGATTTATTGCTCTCAGCTCTTAGGACATCGTTTTTGCTTCGAAGTTGTTGAAGCTGCTCATTCTTTTGCTCCAATTGCATATTCTTTTTAATCTTCTTCCATTCCAAGGTTTCTTTCTTGTCCAATATTCTCTGTTTCTCTTCTTCAAGTGTTTTCGTCTTTTCCTTCAGATCCGATATAATTGTGTCCTTATCTTGAAGCTGTTTGCTGTGGAAATCGTTTTCGCTTCGAAGTTGTTGAAGCTGCTCATTCTTTTGCTCCAGTAGCATATCCTTTCCAATCTCGTCCCGTTCCAAGGTTTCTTTCTTGTCCAATATTCTCTGTTTCTCTTCTTCAAGTGTTTTCGTCTTTTCCTTCAGATCCGATATAATTGTGTCCTTTTCTTGAAGCTGTTTGCTGTGGAACTCTTTTCTCTCTGAAGAAGGGATCCCGGAAATATCAGTCAATGGCATAAGAATGCTAGTTTGTTGTTTATCGCCGCACTCAGCAATATGCGAGCTGTAAATAATCGAGACCAGACCACCCAGCGATCAACAACTGGGATACGATGACATGTGTCAACCAAGTCAGCGAGCCTGACCACCCGATCTCGTTAGTCGCCTCTTACGATAAAGCATGGGTTGCTGAAGACCAATTATTATATAAGTATGAATAAGTATGTATATGGCTGACAACATGTTTTAGATATATGATTACAGTTGCTCTAGAAATACTGAGCCTTAATTATCAATCCCTTTTCACCAGACACGTATAATTTATCTTAACCAGTTAAATTTTATGCATTATCTTTCTAAAGCGTTCGGTCGTCAAGCCCATGACGTATCCCCCGCTGTGATACTGCTGGAGGATTGCTAAAAGAGGCGTGAAAGCTCTCACGCAAGAGAACTAGAAAACCCATTTTAGTTAAAGCCATATCAGAGGCATGTATGACAAATATATTCACCCTGATAAATTTTCGATGTTTTATCCAGCAAGGTACCATTGCCATGTGTTAGAGAACTACTGAAACCACCTGGGCTTTGCGAATTATACCCATAATTCGGCTTAGAACTGGGCTTTCCCAACCCATGCTTGTCGTAAGAGGCGACTAATGGGATCGAGTGGTCAGGCTCGCTGACTTGTTGGGACACATGCAATCATATCCCATTGCGTAGATCGATGAGCATACTTTTGCTCACTGGATTGCCTGGTCTAGGCTCGACAATTTACAGACCGCCACCATATAGCTGGAATATTGCTGGAATGACAGCACAAACATACATGTATTAGCATGGTTTAACACACAACTTACCACTAGCAAGCTGAGAACCGCACACGCCCATTGTGTTCAGTTAGAGGCTCGAGATCACTGAAAAGACACAACACAGTGCATGAATATGTACATTTGTGTGTAAGAAAGTATTGTCTCTCATTCATAATGAATTTTTCCCGAGAGAATAACAGTGTGAATAAAAGTGGTTTTGGTTTTTGTTTTTAACGCCTCAACCACCAATAGTCCAGCTATATGGCGGCAGTCTGGATCAGACAAATCAACATCATTGGCATCGACCTACGCAAATGGGATACGATGACATATGTCAACCCGTAAGTCGCCTCTTACAAGCATGGGTTGCTGAAGGCTCATTCATTCCCGGATCGTGAATGAAGGTTGAGACAAAGACTTTGCATCCAAATAAAGGATTTATTGAAACACGCATTATATATGGGATTACACCTTCCCTGAAAATTACAAAACAAATTCTAGTACGTTTTTTTTTGTATCGAGTTCCACCTCAGAGTCAGGTATGGTACCGACAGCCCACACAGTAAGCGACCTGACCCATTCAGCCACCACGGCTTTACATACATGGATCTTGTACTGTAGACTACGTAAACCACTGACAAGTGTTAATTGGCACGAGTACCATGGCCAATGCTATGAATACGCAAGGCAGTTTTGAAATCGGTCAAATGTACCATGATATATTTGACATTACGCTTCTCAATATATCCACACCCTGCGGTGCTGTGACTAGACACAATGTCTATATGTTACAATTAAAAGTGTCAATATGTTTCACTTGTAAGTCCAATAAACACACTGACTTATGCAAAGAAATGAGATATTGAACATTAAAATTGGGATTGCCCTCTTGTTCTCAAGATCTGCACTGGAAACAAGAACAACTGTCATTTCGAACCTTAGGGTTGTTGCAATGGGAACTCGACCCCTACATATCGAAATGCGCCAGTTTCTTACTAAATCGGCCTATGTACCAAGTTTGGTAAAGTAATAACGTCCAGTTTTCAAAATCGTGCCTACTTACACTTGTCAGACGGGAACACAAAGTCCGTGATCTAGACTACTAGTTGTCAGACTTCAATTTTGTGTGGAAGCCATCAATTTTGTGTGGAAGCCACGGTGGCTGAGTAGGGTTGATCGCTGGCTTTGCGCGCTGGCGATTAGGTGCCTGACTCTGAGAGTGTGGGTTCGAATCCCGGGTGAGTCGCAACCCAACAAAAGTACTAGAATCTGTATATCCACGATCCTTTATCGGCCGAAAATGATTTAATCACGAGTAGAACATATGAATGGATTGCGGAAAATTTGAAATGCCAAAACGCATTCATGGTAGTTTGGAAACATATGATATGAAAAGTTGAAGTTCAGAATTGTGTTCTAAGTCAAGGAAAAATATTCTTGATAAGAATACAATGTATTTCATAAAGATAATTTTTGGCATAAAGAAGAAAAAAACATGTTCCGTTTCACTCACCCGTCTAGCAGCACAAAATGTATGATCTCTTCTAGAACTGTCGTTCACGTTCTGCTTGGTGAGTTCCTCTGCTGTTGACCACCGTATCCAAAACAAAAATAGAAAAAAGTCGTTAGTAACTGTGCCCGTGGTAACCATATGTAAATTTGTAGGTTATGATGTGCGGTTGGCACGATAACATAACACCTAGGCAAATTCCACCAAAGATGAGGGAGAAACATGAAAACATACATCTAATCTTTATTTAAATTCAATACAATTGTGTTAGATCTGTACTTACGGCCCAAAGCCTATAGTACAGTGTATATACAATCTTGAACATTCCAACCCATTGTTGTTGCTACAGTTCTGCATGATTCATGTACATGTAGATATTTTTTTTATAAATTAAGTGGGTTTTTACTTGGGGGCAATATGTGTATTTAAATTACTTAGCAGAAGTGAATTATTGCATCACTCAATAAATATCCATTTATGTAACGTAATGTCAATTCCCAGCCAAGGTCAATTCCTGGGGAATGCTCCTTTCCGCAAACCCTGTGTAAAGGTCACACTGACATGCGACTATTGATAACCAGTGACTCATGTCACGTCCTACGTAATAGGAGAGGCTTAGTCAGGTAGAACGAGAGTTAAAAACTATTATAGGCTGTCGGTATGTTTTCTGTGGTTTTCTGCTCGCCCTGAATTTTTATACCGACCTAAATAATAAACCGCCGCTGTGGAACGTGATGCGGTGATGTAAAGAAAAGGTAGTCTTACCTTTTCACATCATCAGAAACCCTGAGCGTCCTTTATCCATTTTGACCCTTGAAGATCCGGGTTTGAATTGGTCTTCAGCAACCCATGCGCCACACAAAATGACTGTATTACCCAAATGTACTAACGTTAGGAAATATACGTTTCATCCGGCGGCCATGTGAACAAACGTTTGAAATCTACGTATCATCTGGCTGTCAGATTTACACACGTTTAAAGGGGTGTTAAAAAAACCAACACTCAACTCTGTATTTACATGTATTTCACAGGTGTGTAAATCTGGCCATTGTTTTCATGTGTTTTCTAGCATGTGTAACATATGTAAAGGCTGTGATTCTAGGGCATGCATTTTAATACCTTTGAAATCTCGTATGACCAGGGTTAGGTTTGCCATATATTTAGTACACGCGTAAATGGTTGGTAATGGATAAATAAAGTGCTACAAGATTAACACTACTTTAACATGTATTTCAATGGTTCTGTAATATAACTTTCACATCCGGTTCGTTAGCGCGTCGGACTACGCCATAATGCACGGAGATCATTAGAAACACATGGCGAAGTGATACCCATGACTGAGCACCACTATTAACGTGCCTGCCTTTCTTGACATACATATGATGTCTGTTTAAAAGGTTCAAATATTGGGTCTATGGGCCAGAGCGATATGTATGTTAGGGAGTGTGTGCACGTGTGTGCATGTTTGTGAGAGGGAGAGGGTGTGGAATAGGGTAGGCATAGGGTGGGGTGGTGGCGGTGGGGTACTGATAAGCCTTTCTGCAGCTGGTCAGTAGGTAATACCGTTTATACTTTTTGTAATGGTTATTACATTACAGTTTAAGTAACTGATCTTAGGTACAATTCTTATATATGACATGCAAGGATAGACCGCTCATTGCAATAAAACACAGACAGGTGTGTTCACACAGACATGAACCGTAGGTCCCTACTTTTAGTGCACACTTGTAGGAGTTATCAGACTGATCATAGCTGCACACATTATATTATCTGTTCTTTCAAAAATGATGATTACAATGTATTACTGATTCCCGGTGTAAATTACTGTTGTAAATGTGTAAACATGCACATACGTACTTGGTATAACCTCTTTTTTATTCGGAATCTAGATAGTATCCCATACGGACGTTTTCCTAAATGTCAGTTCCCCGACGGAATATACATAAGTGTACACCTATTTTGATTCCAGTTCTAGGGTAGATTATAGAAAATTCTTGTGATTGCAATTAGTTCATAAGCTTAGGTAACTACGCAGTTTCCATAATTACTGGAAGTTCCCACCTGACAGCATTTGTTACTCATGCGTTTTCATATTTGCTTTTTGCTGTCTGATTTGTTATACATTTTATAATTATTTTAATCATTTTGGCATCCCGATATCATGGAATAAATGTTTACTTATTAAACTATCAAAGTGCCGAAACTTATTGTCTGTATGCGTTACTGTTATTGAGTGGAACTGTTAAATGTACCTTCGTACAGAATTTCCAGGAAATAGAAACTGAAAATTGCTAAATAAATGGAAAACTAAATTTGGTAAAGGTTGCAAACAATTATTATTCATACCAGTTTTAAAGTATGAGTGTGCAGATGTTCAATGGAAAACAATACCAAGTAATTTGGAAGATTCACAGACTAACAGTATTTCATTACCATATTTACTTACAGACATATATAGAAAAATATTTTTACGGGTATGGAACGAGTGGGGGAAAACATCTGCATAGCTTCTGAGTCAGCTGAGATTATCCTTTAAAAACATCATATGTACATTTAACAATTACTTATCATTAATTGCAACCAAAGCATTACATAAAGGTCATATTTCCAGACAGCATGACATCACCTTTGGCCGGAGTTCCAAATATTTGACACCAAAACCTGTCAGTTAACTCAAAGGAAATAACCCTTGTGTTTTACAATGATGCCTTAATCATAGTCACAAAGACGTATAGGTTGAAATGTGTTTTCCAATATGACAATATGACTGAGTCAGGGAAGTACTAATATTTACCAAATAAAATTGAAATGAAGCCTTTCTTCAAGCAGTGCATGACTTAACGCCATACATACCTAGACTTGCTTAGATCATTCAAAAAAACGGACCCCCCCCCAAAAAAAAACAAAACCAAAAACAACCTAACAACTTCATTTAAGGCATCATAGATATTTCACAAACATGGTACAGGAACTTCCACAAATTAGCGTATTGCCTCACCACTTGCGAATTAAGCGTTGGCAGATGTAAGGCGTTAGCATTACAGTAAGGACTGGGCGGAAGGGGAAATAATATAGTTCTGTGACTGTGAGACAGACTGGGAAAATATGTGGAAAACCAAAACTTTGGACAACATACCATTGTTTGGGTATTTTAATTGTAAATATGATTCAAGTATCTTAGCCTAAATTTGAATATCTTTACATATAATTCAAAAGTATAACAGCACGAGTATTCATTTTGTCTTTTGTCTTCTACCCGTCCCTACTAGACTACAACTAGTCTCTGAAATGAACATATTTGACAGAAAAAAAGTTCATAGTAAAAAGGAAAAATATAATAAAAAGGAGCCCTGAGAAGTTCTCCTGAAGCTGTGGAAATCTACACTTGCCACATTTTCTACACTTGCTGAGCTTGGATATATTTGCTTCAGGGTCTGTATGACAGACCACGTCCCTACATACGCTCAATCACATGTGTTTCCAGGTCACGGAGAATCATTGGTGCCGGGGCCCGTATTGCAATTCTCTTGCGTTTGCATGTGTTGTTGACGCGGCATGGGCGCCTTGTAACATCACTATTTGATTATGATTCACAAACACATGCTCATGATATGGTTGGAATCGTGCCACGGATTAGCAGATATTTATCATGAAAACAGGTTTTTATGTAGGTGGCTTGAAACTTGCTTTTACAAAGGCCAATAGATTCGATCACAATACCTTCGTTTTACAGGTTCTTTTCTCTTAACATGCTGACCTCAAAACTGATTTAAATTCTAATCGCTGATTAAAGAGTAAGACAACAAATAGTATGTCAAATTATCGTTACCATGACAACCCTGTGATATTTTACCTTATGTAAGAGAGCTATAAATACGATGCTGGGTGTGGCATTACTACTACAGATGATAGTGTATGTCGTAAATTTTAATAAGTTGCTTCACTGGGTTTCTATACACTTATAAATGTATGTGTGATGGAGGAGAACTTGCGTCGCTAGTTTTCTCAATAATCTGAATACATGTATGTAGCGTGAAACCGGCAGATACCTATAGAAGAAAGTGTTTGCCCTACCCGTAACAACGATGTCTCGTGTCTACAGAAGGGATATAATATGTGGATGAATGACATGTACCTTTATCTTGGCCCGTTTATGATGATACATACTGCGATCTTTCACAATAATCTCTCTGGCTATCAGATTGAGGGTACTTTTTAATCATAATCGGTATTTCAATTATTGTATTTATACAGTAACATTCTTCGAACTTTCTCCATACAGTAACATTCTTCGAACGTTCTCCATATATACGTCCGTCAGATACATCGCACACTACCCCTTTCTCTCTTGATCTTCTCAAACGACTGTCACAAGTTCGAAAAAGCCTGGTCAAAGTTGAAAAGTCTTAAGACTATTCCCTACTATTCTGTAACATACACATTGTACCTAAAATGGGTAGAGCTTCCGTTCGGGGGAATATCAGAAGGACAGCAATACACTTATCTCCAATGTTGTAGAAGGCACTCCACTTACTTAGGAAAACAATAACTTAGTGAGATATTGCATTCATGTCGGAATCAATATTTTCGGCCCCTATCAGATGTGAACTTGAACATGCGAGGTCTGCGTCTATGTCTGCGAGTTATTTAGCAGCACTTGGGCGTAAAAGTCATATAGGCCTGCTCCAAACAACGGAATATATATCTTGTGAGAAGGACTTCTCCGACGGGTAAAGGTACAGCAATGCAACATCACATTTACTTGTGTGACATTTGCTTTGGCAATCTGAGTTTATCGATCGTCAATTTAAACAGGACAATCAAGACGAATTTAAAAAAGGCACGGAGGTCCAACATGCCTATGCACCCACCTGTGCTATCCGGTCATAATCGCTGCACGATAAAAACTATTTTTCATTTCAAGTCTCACAGAATATATAATTTGATATGGCAATGTTTGTTGTCGCATACTTTTGCGCTAGTGAAACAAATGTGGACAACTTAAAGCTGATGTATGGCGTTATTACAGCAAAGGCTGAGCGGAAGGAGAAATAGCATGGTTCGGGCACTGTGAGACTATTAAGAAACGTCACATGCAGTGCAATAATTTTCCATTTATGTACTGCCAAAAAGTATTTAAATTAAAGTAGTGAGCTGAAAAGACTTAAGAAATTACGAGTTGGTACGTGTGGCATATTTGGCTGAGCTCTAAGAGAGATAAAGTGCTATTCTATTGGGACAGCTAGGGACACTTGAGAGGACAAAGAGGCACCTCATCGCCCTTTCTTCACAACTGAACCTTTTAATCCCTCG